CTAGGACGATTTTATAGATAATCCACCACTTATCCAATGGAATGAACAACAGCGCCAGGTTGAATCTAAAACACCTTTCATTCTTCCCCGAGCTATTAAAAGAAAAAGGGGAAGACCCAAAACTCGGTCAGAATCAATAAACCAAGCCAAAAGACCCTATCACAAAGTAACAATACAAAACAAATTTGATATGATTAAACTTTTCAGAGTTTATGGGGACACTAAAGACGATGTGTTTTATAGTGGAGAACTTGGTATTAAAATCAAGGCTGTCAAAAATATGTTAGTCAAATTAAGAAATGGTAATTCAATTTTACCAAAAGACCATTACAAGAAAAAAAGCAGAGTAATTCCTTTTCAGCATTTGGTAAAGAAATTGATTGAAAAAGACTCAACATCTTCCGTCAATTGTATCCGATCAAACATCCAAAAAGTGTTGGCAAATGCCAATGTTACAACAGTCGAAGAAATCACAGAAATTACACAAGAACAATTTGAACTTGGGTATAATAACAATTCTCCAACTCAAATATCACAAGAAGCATTGGATACAATCGACAAAATGATTCCTTCAATAAGCGCGATTAGAAACTTCATGAAAGGAAAAACTGGTATAGATGAGGACAGAACTCTTCCTGTTTTAAGTTTCAAAAGGGAAACTCCACGAGGCGCAGTTGCAAACACTAACGAAAACAAAGAAAAAAGAATCGCCGCGATTGAAGAATTGGTTGGTCAGATGCACTCAGGAAAAACATGTGTTTGCATTGATGAATTCTCGTGGCGTATTGCTTGCACTGCGGTTTACGGATGGAGTCCAATTGGTGAAAAACTTTTCGTGACAAAGGCAAAAAACGGACAAAGACTATCTGCTTTGTGTTCAATAGACTACACAAGAATGGGAACAACTTTTTTGGTTGCAGGAAAAAGTGATGAAGAGGTCTTCAAAAGATATTTTATGGAATTGATGAAACACTATGACGACAACAACATTTTAGCAGTGTTTTGGTGTGACAATTGTACTATACACAACCATTTGAGGGAACTTGTAACCAACACTCATCATTCAATTGTTTATAATGCAGCTTACAGTCCTGAACTCAACCCAATCGAAACTGTATTTGGGTTTTGGAAAAGGCGTGTAGAAAATGACATACGTATTTGGACTGGCCTTGGCGATCTTCTTGAAAAAATAAAAAATGGATTTATTTCAATTCAACCAGCTGAAGTAATAGCGTCTATGGAGAGATGTCGCAATGAAATTTGGGCAAAAGCATATGAAAGAAAAGATTTGTAATTTCAAATTGTTTGTTTTTTATGTGTAAAATCGGGAAAATTCGGAAATAAATTATATTTTATTAAAAAATCCATCCTTTTTGTTAAAAATGTTATCCTTTTTCAAAAAAATGGCTGTCACATTTTCTTTAAATCCATCCTTTTAACAAAATTCCATCCTTTTTATA